GAGCTTTGGAATTTCTTGGACGGTATCATGCCCAAGGCTGAGGAGTATAGGAACTTCCGGGACAGTCAACAGACCAAGATCAAGTACGTTTTAACTGGCACCTTTGTCACCAATGGACACGAGCTCCGGGTGCTGGCGCACTCGCTGACGGTGCCCAAGCCGCCATCATACCACGTACCTAATACTACGAGGCGCAAGCTGATGGACGTCAAGATGATACTGGCCACAGAAGGTCAGATTCAGCAAGAGTTTCCAGACCAGAGCTCGTTCACCGTCGTTGGCATAGACCCCGGTATCCGCAACACCGCAACAGCCACCATCATCAGCTCTGATGACGAAAATGTGATGCAAAACATGAGCATACCACGGTCAGGGGACGCCTTCAGCACGAAGGTGTTTCAGAGGGGGTTGCAACGGGCCAAGCAACAGAGGCAATTCACGGTGACATTGCCTCCAAATCAGGGAGGACCATCCCGGATGAATGTTCTGCAGATCGAACAGTTGATCCAGCCAATCGAGTGTGATCAGGCTCCAGCAGGTCAGGCACAGACATGGGCCCCACTCTCCGCGTCCGTCAGAACCCACGTTGAGTCTGGACAAAAGCATTAGCCATGTGTGCAATGCTGCAGGTCTTACGTCGAAGCTCGATGGAGATGGGGCAAGACCCCTCTTTGTCGTGGGCGACGGGGAATTTGGATCCTCGAGGGGCCCGGTCCTCCACCAGCGATTCGTCACCTTTTTGCAGAAAAAGGTAACAATCAGTTTAGTGACTGAGGCAAAAGCGACCGCCGTCTGCTCAAACTAACATGCTTCTCTTTGCACCTGTCTTGATTTTAGGTCGTCGCACACCGAGGTGCCATCGCCTGCGCGGATGAGTACCGAACGTCGCGGGTATGCTGCCAATGCAGGACAGAAGGAAGGATGGTCATGCGGGCGATCCAGTGTCCTGGCTGCAACCAAGAGAGGGACCGTGACCACAATGGTGCAACCAATATGGCCTTGGCTACGTTGTGGAACAGAGCACAGTACAACGTATACATAGTGTACGTTGTACTTTATTGGCATTTGACTCGACACAATCTACAAGTAGCTTAGCTCAGTTAGTATTTGAGAGGAGCCAATAATGCGAGTACTTTTATTATAGACCTTTTTTTTACGGCTTAATATGAATGTGATACGTCCGTCTCATTGTGGACATGAACATGAAAATGGACTGGTCATTAGAATGCGCATCTCCATCCGGAACTAGGAGGATGCAAGGATTTCGAAGGGAAAAGAGGGTAGTATATACAGGCTGTGGAGAATAGTAATGTCTTTGAGAGAAAGACTATTGAGAAAATGGACGTAAGTAATGAAGAGATAAAATAGGGTTGTACATGATATCATGAACGGGAGAAATGCCTCGCGGGAATATAATAATAAAGTGGAATTACGCGGCACAAGAATGTGAAAATGCCGAATGGAAAGGCGGATGCAAATCGGTAAAAGAGTGAACACCATTTTGTGAATGGAGACGGATGCGGAGGAAAACTGAATATGCGATCAAAGGGATGACCGCGCGGACGTCGCTTCCTTAGGCAACAGGAGGCGATAGGGTGACGATCAAGTCTCCGACATGCTCGACATCAATTGATTCCGTCGCTTGATGCAATTCGCCCATAGCATTTGCCATCTACAAGTAAAATAGAAACGATAAGGTATCGCACATTAGCTCAAAAAAAGTTGGCGCTTGCATGACCCAATCTATTCAACAGGGAGATCATAGGTGATTACATACCCATCCAACCGTTCTTGGGTCCACGGTCTTCTCCGCAAGCACCTCGCGTACCGATGGTGCCTTGATCGAGTTGCCTGAAGATGTTGACGATCTAGTTTTTCCATTCACTCCGCTTCCTGCTCCACCAGCTCCGACTGCTGCCTCTAAAACCTCGCTCAATGTCGGCATATCCGCGCCCAAAGCCTTGACAGAGGTCATGCTGGTTAACTTGCGGATTGTTTGTTGAGGAAGTTTGACGGTGTTGAGTGCCGACACGTACTCATTCGAGCGGTTCAGCGCTTCCTGCTGTTGCAGCCTCTCGACCTGGAATGTTGATGGAATATCAATCAAGTTCCTGTTGCATGATAAATATTAAAGGATTGTTAACGAGACAGAAAACGAGTTTTGGATGACAAGAAGGAGAGACAGACAGAGCGAGAATAAGCAGCTCTGCTCTCGGTACTTCTAACGGGTCAACATCAATGGTAGCGTGTGAAGGACCAATGTGATAAAACTTAGGGGTGGTTAACTTCCTCCATGCGCTGTTGTACATAGCGTGAAAGAACCACACGGTTTTGAGGCCTCCCAAATCTATCAAGCTGTGTTTGATTTTCAAACGCCCGTGTAGTAACAGTGGGAGTGACAGGGACCAAATGGATGCAACATTAACACACGAAGGTGTTGCATAAAGGTCCAAATAAAACAAAGGGCGTAAATAGATTGCCTGTGCCCTGAATGTGACACGGACAGGTAACCGACCCTTTGATTAATGTAAAAGAATCGAGAATTTGTGCTCTGGAAGGATAGGCAGGTGCATGGTGCACGCTCTCTGCAGGAAGGGGAATAAAAAAAATAGGGGCGTTCTTGAAGAGAGAAAAATAGTCGCGGTGCACGACATGGAGGGACAGGACAAGCACCAGCAAACCACTTTCGCCATGGCGCAAACAACATTATGCGTGGTACAAGCAAGCATTTTCTTACCCTGCTGTTCGTTCTACGATCTTTTGAAGCGACTCGAGCTCGCGTAACTGGTTCTGCTCGACGAAGGACGGAGATACCATACTGTTGGTGCTAAAATAGATATAAATGAAAAGGCAGCATGAGGAATGGTCGCCAGTGTCAGTAGGCTGTTCAGCCCAGGAAATACTTTAAACGGGAGGTGGGAAGGCCATGGCCCTTATTCATTAAACAGGACCCTGTCAAGCGACCGGCTTTGACTACCACAAATACCCGCATCGTTCAGGTCCAAAAGATTTTTCTTCTGCTCACGCACATCTCAACAGCTCTGCATCACATCACGTTGAGCACAAACACACAAACACACAAATGTGCAGCACAGGAAATAACGCCTCTCAACCCCATCCATCTCCTTGTCGCCACTTCTGATTGCTTCTTGCAACACTCTCCGCTTTTGGACTAGCTGCAACTTAGCAGTTTGATGGGCGCTGGGCGCTGCATATATTACTTTATTCTTGGAGCAGTCAATGCCAAGAGTTGCCTCGCATCATCCAACGAAAATCCCCCGACCAACACGCTCGACCCTTCTGCGTCTCCACGTAAACAAAGTTTTTTTTTTTTTTT